GAGCCCCTTGAGTGAAAAGCAGGTAGGATTTTGCTGCTACCAGACATGTTCAGAAAGCCAACTGTTCTGGGCAGAGGTTGAATCAGAGGGCGTCCCGCCGGCAGCTGAGGACTGCGCTTCTGGATTGACCTTCTGGCTTCCCGAGGACACAGGGCAGCATGGGATGGAGCACGTGTCAGCTCTGAGCCATCCCTGGACGAAATCAGACTGAGCTAATAAAATTCACAGACATCTCTCTTGGTATGGGAGCAGTGCAGAGCAGAAAGACTGACGGTTGCCTTTATACGGATCATTCATCTGGTGGTGCCAAACAGAAGCTTAAAGGTGTATTTCTCAGTACTTTTCTCTTTTAGTAAAGTATAAAATGAGGTATAGATCAATTAACTCACTTGCTCAAAGGCAAAGAAAGAGAGTATCTTCTGAAAAATGGACTGGATTTTGTCTTCTGTCAGAGACTGCTTTAGTAACTAATGAAATGTTTGTAAGCACAATATATTATTTGTTTCAGAAGTACTTAAATAAAAGTACTTTCTGTTATTGCATGTTCTTTTACTTCAAGTCAGTTGCATAAAAGTATATATTGATATCCTAGTTATACCTCTAAAACCTGTAAAAACTTTCAACTGGTGAGCTTAGCTGGCTTTATAATTTTACATCCTAGAGATTTCACTTCAAAATTTTTGTCTGTCTTATCATCCTTACTTAGTTCAGGATTAATTTTAAATTAGGATATATAATACTGTTCTTCACTAACGACAATCCAGGCAGTGCATAGCCAGTTATATCACCCTTTAGTAAGAATATTTCAAAATCAAAGCAAATTGGACACTTTGAATAATCAGTGTTATTTAAACTGTTCTGTAGGAACTATAAAGTATATTTCACAGCCAGCTCACTTATTAACTCTGTAATATTCCTTCAATTCCAGACCTCTAAGGAAGTGAATTACTGTCCTGGCTTTCATGCTGCCTTTAGCTACATGTGCCACGTTGCCAAATGGCGACACGCACTGCTTCAGAAGTCACAATTTGTGTCCGGTAGCTACCTGCTTCCTGCATTGCTTGTTATATTTAGAAATAGCAAATACAACTTTCCACTTTTGTTGTTAGTGCCTAGTTTCTCACTTTAGACTATTTGCTGGGGTTTTTTTTCTTTTTTTATGTGTGTGTGTTTTTCAGGGGGGCGGGAGGAAGTGGAGATAATCATCTCCAAATTGCTAAAATTATTATTAAAATAAGCATGTACGGAACAATTGGGCAGTGTACCTTGGAATGAATAGATTAAACCAGAGCATTTTCATTATGTCTCTGGCAGTCTCCCTTTTATCTCCTCATGTGATGAACATCTGTATTTTTTGGCAATATGCTAGGATATAAATGTGGGGTGTATCTGAACAAACTCTCAATTATAGTTCTGCTTAGATGAGATTTCAGAATTATGTTTTCTATTTTTTGGCTGATGTTTACGGTTATGATGGCAAGTGTGTGAAAAAGAACCACAATTCTAATGCATTTAATATTCAGTTCTAGATTCCTATACCTATTATTTAGCTAAACCTTCTGTTTGTAGGTTTATGGGTTTTGGAGGTTTTTTTTCTTTTTTTTTTGTTTTTTTTTTGGGGGTGGGAGGTTGTAAAATACATACCAAATGTTTATG